TTGGTGGCGGAGAATGAAGAAGGATATCGTTGCATATGTAGCTCGGTGTTTGAACTGTCAGCAATTTAAGTACGAGCATTAGAGGCCTGGTGGTTTATTTCAGATGATTGAGCTTCCCGAGTGGAAGTGGGAGCGGATCACTATGAACTTCGTTACTGGACTCCCGCAGACTCGGAAGAAGTTCGACGCAGTATGGGTTATTTTTGATGGGCTGACCAAGTCAGCGCATTTCATTCCTGTGGAAGCCTCTTATTCATCCGAGAGGTTAGCTGAGATCTATATCCGGGAGATTGTTCGTCTTCATGATGTGCCTGCATCTATCATTTCGGACTGAGGTACGCAGTTTACCTCGCATTTCTAGAGAGCAGTTCAGCGATAGTTGGGCACCCAAGTTGAGTTGAGTACAACCTTTCATCCTCAGACGGACGGGCAGTCTGAGCGGACTATTCAGATTTTGGAGGATATCCTCCGAGCTTGTGTCATTGACTTTGGAGGCTCGTGGGATCAGTTTTTGCCTTTATAAGAGTTTGCCTACAACAACAGTTACCAGTCGAATATCCAGATGGCTCCTTATGAGGCTTTATATGGTAGGCAGTGTCGATCTTCGGTTGGATGGTTTGAGCCGGGAGAGGCTCGATTGTTGGGTACGGATCTGGTTCAGGAGGCTTTGGACAAGGTTAGGATTATTCAGGATAGGCTTTGTACAGTTCAGTCCAGGCAAAAGAGTTATATAGACCGCAAGGTTCGAGATGTGGCTTTTATGGTTGGAGAGCGGGTATTGCTCCGAGTGTCACCTATGAAGGGCGTGATGAGATTTGGGAAGAACGGAAAGCTTAGCCCTAGGTTCATCGGTCCGTTTGATATTCTTGATTGAGTGGGAGAGGTGGCTTATAGACTTGCATTGCCGCCGAGCTTATCAGTCGTGCATCCAGTGTTTCATGTATCCATGCTCCGGAAATATCACGGCGATCCATCCCACGTGTTAGATTTCAGCACTCTCCAGTTGGACAAGGACTTATCTTATGAGGAGGAGCCGGTAGCTATTCTAGACCGGCAGGTTCGCACTACAAGAAATAGGACTTTTTGTAGCAACATTTAGTGGCGACTTGATGTGTTGCAACAAATATTATACTTTTAGGAGCGACTTCAGAAGTTGCTGCAGAAAATAAACTTTTAACAGCGACTTATTTAAGGCGCCTCTAATATGCGCTACTAATTGCTGAATTTTTCTTTCCCGGTAAGACCAAAATTTTGGCTCCAAAGATCTAGCAGCGACCAATTAATAGTCGCCGCAGAAGAACATTTAGGAGCGACTTAGTCGCCACTAATAGAGTAATTAAAATTAAAAAGAGTAAATAAAAAAGAAATTTCTTAATCAAAAGACCTCAAACATATCAAATGTCTCTTTGCTCAATTTCTTTTCTGCAATACCACTTGTTTGCTCCCTTCCTTCTTTGTAAAATTCTCAATGTTGTCTCCGATCGAAAACCTCAAATCTATCTACTCAGATCATAAAATGTGAACCATATGGTAGAGATTCAAAAGCCCTAATTACAAATTGTGACTCTATCTCTCAAATTTTTCTGACCCATTTGCAAATCTAGAGGAACCGACAGTCGTTTAAAGCTAAAGAAGGAAGGAGGAAAGTTTGAAGTTTGAAAATCATTGCGAGGGTAAGCTGTTCGAAACCGAAGTTTTGAAATTTTATTTCCATATTTTGTCGATTCTCGATCTTGACGGTCCTATCTCAGTTATCTCTTTCTCTAGGTAAGCTGAAAGTTTTTGTTTTTTGAAATTCTAGACCTTTTGGTGTTGTTATTGTGATTGCATGCTCGATATTATATTGGGTATCTTGAATTCAGTAATTGTGCAAAAAAAAAAAAACTTCTTTTAGGTTGAATTTACCTGGGTTTTTAGTTTTAAAGATGGATTTTGTTCCTTTTGAATATTGAGTTTTAAGAAACTTTCCGATGTATTTAATTTGTAGAAATGAGCATTTCGGCTTTTGCAGGTTATCAGGAAAGGGTTCCTTTTAGCAGCACAGGTGAGCTTCATCTTTGTACCAAATTTCTTCTTTTTTCAATTTGTTATTAGTTTCAAAAATGTGAAGAAGTTCTATACATTTGCAGAAAGAAGATCTGCAGAGAGTGGTAGACTTGCTTTCGCTTACGGGACATCATACACGTTCGTTGCTTATTCATTATCTATGGGATGTTGATAAGGTCTTTGCAGTGTTTGTTGATAGAGGGAAAGAAAAATTATACGTGGAAGCTGGTGTATCGCTTGAAGAGAAAGATGATCAGCATCCTGCCTCTGAGCCCTCAACTGAAATAACATGTGAAATCTGCTTCGAAGACTTCCTGCTGAGGAAACGACGCTGATGGATTGCAATCATAGGTTTTGCAATGATTGTGAGCATCTTTCATCCTTCTCCCTTATCTCTCGCTCTCTGATGTAAAGTTAGACAGCTAGATTCGGTTGATTGAACTTCTTGTTCTCATTTTTATGGATTTGTGCAATTTTTATTGTTCTGCAATTTTTTTTCCGTTTCCTTTCAACTTATTTCTGCTGAATGGGTTAGCCAAGATAATGAGGCAAAGACACATTGATAGGGGTGCGCTGACACTTGCTTCTGCTGAAGTCAAATTTCAGATTGATACTGAAACTCATGACCCTCTTGATATCGGTATCATCCTATTCTTTTTTAATTCTCTTTAGTTTCTTTTGGTAGCTTATTGTAAATTAGATAAAGGTGCCCAACTATCTGTCATTTGGAAAGCTCAGAAACTTTCTTTCAATTATATATTTGGCAGTGCTTAAGAATTATTTTAGGGATCATTTGTTTCAGACTAGTGTGACGTTAAGATTTTCTTAGCTTCAAGCTCATAGAACATATGCTGTACCAATGGCAATACGCAATTCTGGCCTATTTTGAACAAATGTTATCGAAGGCAGAAATGCATCTTTGTTTTTATCCTTTTTATTTTTGTAACAATAGACAAGAGGGGTTCCTCTGATGGTAAGCAACCTCCACTTCCAACCAAGAGGTTGTGAGTTCGAGTCACCACAAGAGCAAGGTGGGGAGTTCTTGGAGGGAAGGATGCCGAGTTTCTATTGGAAACAGCATCTCTACCCCAGGGTAGAGGTAAGGTCTGCGTACACACTACCCTCCTCAGACCCCACTAGTGGGATTATACTGGGTTGCTGCTGCTGCCTTTCAACTTATGTATCCCGTCTTAGAATTTGTAAAATAAGCTACTTCACCATTTTATCTATTTACTTGAAATTAGTATAATGGTTGCAGAAGCATGAGTAAGGTTCTTGAAAATAAAAGTTTCTTAAGGAGGAAGAAGGAACACAACTTGTAACATGTAATTTTCTCACTTTGTTCTCACATTACTGTGAATGATTTCTGGTGTAGTGTGCTTCTCTGATTAATGTTCATCATATACTCTGAAAACAAGGTAGAAAAAGACTGATGTTAAACTGAAAATAGAGTTGCCATGTTCTCACCCCTTCTTTTTCTTGTTCAACTTTTGCATAATAGAGTTGTTAGAACTTAGTAGCTGAACTTCAGAGTATTATAATCTTTTCTAATTATTTACTTTTCCATTGACCATGGCTGATTTTCTAACCAGATATACCATATACTTAATGTGATCCATTTTGTTGAAATATTAAGGTTGCAGTCTAGCGAAAGCAGATGATAGGATATTGACCAATTTATCAACAATATAGTAAATAGTGAATTATTAAAAAAGTATTCTCTTAAATCTTTTGATTAGTTACAGATATAATGTACTCCTATCAGTTTTATAAGTTAATAGTTACATTTCATATTTAATGTTTGTCCCTTCGTCATGCTTCTGGTGTAGTGGGGCATACGCCCGTGCACAGCACGGGCACGCATCATCTAGTTTAACTTATAAATGTAGTGTCCATGTAACTAAATAATTTATCTTGTTGGAATTTTTGTTCTTTGTTGGATTTTGATCTTGTATTTTCTCCTCTTGATAACAGGGACAAGATTTCTGAACAATCACAAATGGCGATGATCAAGGAGTTTGAAGACATTTAATGTTTAGTTTTTTCTTCTTTTTATTTTGGGTCATAAGACATCGACCAAGGAGTAGTTCAAAGTATGAAGATACTTAATGTATTGTTTTTCCTTTGTCATGTGTAAATGCATACAATGGCAATAAACAAGAAAGTATTGGGCAGTGTATTAGCTAATTGACTATACAATAATGAAAGTATTTATAGTATTTGTGTTGAGAAATATTTTTAGTGTTTGTTGAATTTGATGCTTTTAGTATTTGTAGGCAATTGATAGAAATATACCTAAATATTCATTTCACAAAGTAGTAGGTCACCATAAGAAATCTACAGCATTGGTTAGTTATTTAAAAATGGCTTTAGTGGCGACTATACCTTGTTGCTAGACATAATTAGTATTTGAGGCGACAAGAAGCGCCACTAAAAGTCCTTGGCTACCAGTGGCGATCAAAATCGCTGCAATAGATACAATTTGTGGCGACTTTACTCGCTACTAAAGTCTTTCTTTAGTGGCGACCTTCCCAGAAACACAGATTGAGGAGTCGTTTTGGTAGCGATATTATTTACTTTTAGGGGTGAGCAGAGTTGCTGCAATATCTGGTATTTAGTGGCGACTCCATTATGTCGCTACAGATAACATTTAGTAATGGATTTAAGTGAAGCGATCCCAAGGTCGCCACTAAAGGCAATTAGTGGCGACTTTATAGTCTTTAGTAGCGACTTTAGTCGCCACTAAAAGCAATATTTCTTGTAGTATTCGTCAGTTGAGGTCGAAGAGTTTTCCTTCTGTTTGTATTCAGTGGAGAGGTCAACCTCCTGAGGCATCGACCTGGGAGTCCGAGTTCGATATGCGGAGCCGTTACCCCCATCTTTTCCCCGACTCAGGTACTTCCTTCTTCTGTCCGTTCGAGGATGAACGATTATTTTAGAGGTGGAGAATGTGATGACCTTTTGTTTTAAAACGAAATTCCGTATTCTGAGGCCTTGAAAACCTCATTTAGACTCACCTCGATTTGCATGCGCAGTCCGGGCGCGTAGCCGGAAAGCTTAAAATATGATAATCTGTGAAAAATGATAAGTTTTGACTATAAAATGAGCTCATTTGACTTCAGTCAACAATTTGGGTAAACAGACCTGGACCCGTGATTTGACGGTCCCAGAGGGTCCGTAGGAAAATATGGGACTTGGGCGCATGCCCGAAATCGAATTCTGAGGTCCCAAGCCTGAGGAATGAATTTTTAAAGGAAATTGTTTTCTGGAATTGTTTAAAGAAATTTGAAATGAAATTTGATTAGAACATGATGGTATCGGGCTCGTATTTTGGTTTCGGCACCCGGTACATGTCTTATATATAATTTAAGACATTCCTGTAAAATTTGGTGAAAAACGGACGTCGTTTGACGTGATTCGGACCTAAATTGCTAAAGTTGATGTTTAAAGAAGTTTGAGAAAAATTCTATGATTTTGAGGTTTAATTCATTGTTATTGAGGTTATTTTGGTGATTTTATTACACGAATAAGTCTGTAGGATATTTTTGAGGTTGTATGTATATTTGGTTTGGAGCCCCGAGGGCTCGGGTGAGTTTTGGATAGCCCACGGGTGCATTTTGAACTTTGAAAAATAGCTGGTGTATTTCTATGCGAAGCCAGTATCGCAAATGCGAGCCATGCACCGCAAATGTGAGAGTTGGCCTGGGCAGCCTTCTTCGCAAATGTGAAGTAGCCGTCGCAAATGCGATGCTTGCCTAAATCCTCTATGATCGCAAATGCGAAGTCGCAAATGCGAAAGTTTGGGATTTCTGAAGGGTTCGCAAATGTGAACCCTGTTTCGCATTTCCCAGCTTATCAGAGGTCGGGGTTCACAATTGCGAACCCCTGTTCGCAATTCTCATACCTACAACCTGCAATTTCTATACTTAACCGATTTTAAAACCCATTTTTCATATTCCCTCAAACATAAACATACTTATGCGATTTTTCAAGGATTCCTTCTTCTCCAAATCACCTGTAAGTCATTTTTAACTAGTTTTCTTCAATCATTAACATCTTTTAACATGATTTCAACTTAAAATCAAAGATTTTCATGGGGAAAATTAGGTGTTTGGGTAAAACCTAGGTTTTTCAAAAATTGGGGATTTGGACCTCGATTTGAGGTCTGATTTCAAAACAAATCATATATTTGGGTTCGTGGGGGAATGGGTAATCGGGTTTTGGTTCGAACCTCGGGTTTTGACCATGTGGGTCCGGGAGCGATTTTTGACTTTTTGGGTAAAACTTTGAAAGACTCATTTTTATGCATTGGGGTTTATTCATTTAGCTTTTAATTATGTAATTGAGTAAATTGTGACTAGATACGAGCAAATTGGCGGTGGAATCAAGGGGTAAAGCTATAATTGAACCTTGAATTGTGTTCGTGGCATCGAGGTAAGTGTTTGGTCTAACCTTAGCTTGAGGTATTAGGAGTTGAGTCTTATTTGCTACGTGATAATTGTTGAGTACGACGTATAGGCATGGTGACGAGTATCTATACGTTGGTGTCTAGCATGACCGTGAGTCTTAAATTTTGAAGATCTTGATTTCGTTGTATCTTTCATGCCTTGGTGATGATTTCTAATTGTTGTGGAAAGTTTGTGGAAGGAATTGTAACCTTTGAGCATCGAGGAGCATTGGCTCAAGTTATATTATGAATTGTGAAAGTATATGAGAGCATTGGCTCAAGTGGTAAAGTGAGTTATGAAATAAAAGTGAAAGAAAGAGAAAGAGTTATTAAATTGTTCCCTTGCCGGGATATTGTTGCTTTGTTGATTATCTCCCTTGCGGGATGTTGAGATTATTGATGTTGTTCCCTTGCGGGGATTTAATTGTTTAACTGTTGTTCCCTTGCCGTGATCTCTATTACTATTTTGTTTATTCCCTTGCCCCTTTGCTTGTGATTGTTGTTTGGGTGAGGAAGAGTGTTAAAGCACGAAAGGTGATGCCGTGCATTGTTTGCTATTGTGAGGAAAGAGTGTAAAGCACGAAGGGTGATGTCGTGCCATATGATGTACCATTCCGTACCGATTTTCATTAATTATATGGTGAGAAAAGAGAGTAAAAGCACGAAGGGTGGTACCGTGCACATCTTTATTATATGATTGATTTGGTGAGGACGAGAGTAAAAGCACGAAGGGTGATGTCGTGTACACTTTTATTATAAAATTGCTTTGGAGGGACGAGAGTAAAAGCACGAAGGGTGATGCCGTGCAAATTGTTGATTTCTGATTCTTTGTTGATATTCGAGTTATGTTGTTTCTTTCCTTACTTGATGCTTTCTATTCGGAACTGTTATCTCCCCCACAACATGTTTCCCCCTCCCACATTGACTGGTTATTTTCTGTATTTCTTTTCCGGTGTATATATATTTGAACTACACAGGTTTAATTGGGTAGTATGGTCCTAGCCTCGTCACTACTTCGCCGAGGTTAGGCTAGACACTTACCAGCACCTGGGGTCGGTTGTGCTTATACTACACTTTGCACTGTGTGTAGATCCAGGAGCGGCATTTGGACAGTAGTTGGAGTGCTTCATTTAGTCCATCCGGAGACCCAAGGTAGACCTGCAGGCGTCTGCAGGCCCTGGCGTCTCCCTCTATATCTATTTCCTGTTGTATTTTCTTTTATTCAGAAACAGTGTAATGTATTTCTTTAGACCTTGTTTGTAGTAACTCTTAGACAGTTTATGACACTGTGACACCGGGTTTTGGGTATCTGAGGTTTTAAAAGTTGTAATAAATGTAGCCTTAATTTATATAATTGTTGACTTCCGCTTATGTTATTTAAAATTTCTCTTTTATCATATTATCGCCTTGTATTCGTTTAAAAGAAGCAATATAAAAGTGTAGCAAGTAGTTAGGGTTTGGCTTGCCTAACTCCCATCAGTAGGCGCCATCACAAGTCCCAAAGGTGAGAAATCCGGGTCGTGACAAAAAATAACTTAACAACCTAGGAAAGTAATAAATATAGTCCGAAAATATATGAAAATAAGTTAAAACCAATCTAGGATAAGATATTGAAAGTCCCAAACCAATCTTGGCTAGGATCTTGGAAATGTTGCAGGAAATTTACAAGCACCTTGACACCAACTTGCACTCAACTTTTAGCATACCTATTGTACCTTTCTTGAAAGTCAAGTAAGTCTTTTTTATGTTATAGATCCAACATAATCATAAATGTGCACTGCCAGAATGTCGAATGGCGCGAACCATAGAGGCATCTATTACCCCACTAACGAATCATACATGCAACACAAACAACTATAAATAAAGAATCACCCCGCTCGTGAATCGTACATGCCACACAGGTACACATAGAAACACACATTCAAACAGTCAATCAAGACTTCATCAGGGAAACAATTATTCAAGGAGGAGTCAACTTTTCTTTTACAAGTCAAGAAAAAATGAAGTTTAATTCTCTTAGAAAAGCATTCACCACTTTGATATGATTTAATCAATTTAAACTGTCAATACAGTTACAATTATTTCAAGTAAAGCATACTTTTGGGTCCTAGATTATCCGGACTTTAACATAATAGTAGCTATGCACGGACTCTCGTCATCTCGTGCATACGTAGCCCCCCACAAATAGAATCACATATCCAATTAATTCACCTATGGGGACAATTTCCCCTTACAAGGTTAGAAAAGAGACTTACCTCGCTCCGAAGTTCCAAAACCGGCTCCCAAGCCCTTCTGACGACTCAACCCGATTCCCAACTCTCCAAAACTAGTCAATAATTGTCCGAACCCATAAATATATACTCAAACACTCATAACACTTCAATTTATATCAATTCTCAACTCCTTTTGAAAAGTTGACAAAATCGCCCTAGGGAAATAAAATACCGAATTTTTGAATTATGCTCTGAGTAGACCTCCCTTCAAGTCATTCACTGCCCCGACGCATGGGCATGCCTCCTACCATCATACTAATACTGTGCGATAACCAAATCATGATCGTCACAACAACCTGTACATAGCCCTTAAAGCTCTCAAAAGTACAACTACTGAGCTAAAATAACATAATACCCTTCTGCAAGGCAACGATAATAGCCCAATCAACTATACCGGGAGAAACATCCCGCAACCTATATCTAGTATCATCACAATTCCTCAATCCCCATTTGATAATAAGCGCTCCACATCGCATAAGATTGAATGGGAAGGAAATAAAGGCATAAGACTCGAG